CTGTAGTGCTGCATATAATTGACGGCCTCGTGGGGTAGGTGTCGAGGAACGAGACCCCCACCATGGGTGTTTGGCGTTGAAATCTCCGGCAGCGATAAAGCGGTGGCCCAGGCTTTTGAAGAATTTTTGGAACAACTCAGTTTTTATTGAGTGCTTAGGTGGACAATATACAGCTGCAACTATAATGGATCCTTTTTGATCATTCAGAGTTACATTGGTAGCTTGTATAGATTCGTCTTCATTTATTCCAGTTAAATGGTGTTTAATAGTTGTTTTTATAATAACGGAAAAACACCTTGCTCTCTTCCGCTAGGATGCTTGGTATCGTAAATGGTATAGTTTGGAATTTTTATATAGTTTTTGTTTGTGAAGTATGTTTCTGAGATCAACATAACATCGATTTTTTGGTCAATTAAGAACTTCTTAACTTCCAATATTCTTTGAGCTAAGCCATTTGCATTCCAAATTGCTATATTTATTTCACGATTTTCCTTATTGAATTTTGTTTATTAAGCTTGTAAGTAAATTTAACATTGTGTCCATTCGACTCATAAGCTGAGTCATCATTTGTTCTAGTTTACTTGTTGTTGTTACTGATGTGTTTGTCGTCGTTTGTGTTTCTATTTGAGGCTGAGTGATATTTGTTGTGTATTGTTTATGGTCGGATCTCACAGTGTGCGCGTACGATATATTTGGTTTTACGAAGCGGTTAAGGCTTTGTAACTGGCTCTGGGTTTGTTGGTTTGCAGATTTTTCTCTTAACGTTGGATATAATTTTTGTTGTAATTGTTTTCGCACTAAACAGCCTTTGTAACTAGCTGAGTGATTACCGTCACAGTTAGCACATTTGACTTCTTTAATTTTTCCTTTTGTTGGGCAATCAAGAGTAAAATGATTCATTGCGCATTTTACACACACCGGACTTTTAAAGCAGTAGTTTTTATGTGACCGTAACCCTGGCATTTCTGGCATTGAGGAATCTCCCTTTTTTTACGAAGTGGTTCGAAGCTGACGATTATATTCAGTAGCTTATCGATGTTATAAATAGATTTATTATTATCTTTAGGTTCAATCTCTATTATGAATAGTGGTAGAGGTTTTTGTGTAGTTCTTTCTCGTATATTTGTAATCCTGGTTACTTTATGTTCATATTCTTCGATGGCAGCTTTTAAATCTTCAAGATCCGTTGATGGGTGCATGTTTCTTAAAACCGCTTTATACGATTTATCCTGCTTTCTTTGATAGGTGTAAAATTCTGTCTTTTTCTTTTTCAAGGCTTCGATGATTGGTAGATATTTTTCTGACATGCTGGGCAGGATTTTTACTTGGTTATTGGCCAGGATTTTCAGGCTATAGTTTTTGCCGTCAATTTCTTCCAACAATTTCGTAAGCGGTCCTATGTCCTCGACTCCACTGACAAATATTGGAGGTGATTTGGAGATTTTCTCTTCACATACTTTCTGAGTATTATTTTCTGTGTCTTCATCTGTGGCTAGTGGATTAAACGGATTTTCGGAGATTATTGTTTTACTTAACCAATAGTCCTTGATGTATGTTTGGCGTTTTTTGGCCATGGTTTCCCCAGGACTGCTTCTTATTCGTTTTTTTTTGGCGAATGGTTGCCATTGCTGGTCTGCAGATTCACTTGAATTTCTTCTATCTGGAGAAGATCTGATTTCGTTTGAGGCCATAGGCCATATATTTTTAATTATTTAGTTTCTCTCTTAAGCTTATATTTAACACACGATCTCGCGTCTATTACTATGGTTGGCTGTGCAGCGACGTAGCACAGCGAGGCGAAGTAAACAAACACGTCTGCTCGCTCCGGCTGTTCGAGCTGAACACGACCACAAACATAACGCAGAAATTTGCTCCTCTTCGTTTGACGGACGTGGTGGAATACTCGCTCACGCGTTCTATCCTTCACACATTCCCAATTACGTCGCTGAAATACATGTGGACAATGTATAAAAATTAAAGACAGTACCATTTGGATTAAGTAAATAATAAAGATAGTATCACTTAGGTTTTACTTTTTATTTTGTAGTAGAATTTAACTTGACGCCACAGTTGTTGATATCAAATTGTTTGTACAAATAATACATATTAGATTAATATTCATTATTTAATTTGGCTATCAAATCTTTTTTACGAATAATACATAAAATTTCGATAAATTTAATTAAATTAACAGAATTTAACTTGGCGCCACAATTGTTGATATCAAATCTTTTATATAGATGATACATATATCATTAGATTTAATAAAAACATTAACAGAATTTAACTTGGCGCCACAATTGTTGATATCAAATCTTTTATACAGATGATACATATATCATTAGATTTAGTAAATTTTGTGATATAATGATTTTCATGTAATAATTTTTGAAGGGGAATAAAGCCATTATAACTTGGGTTGGAATGTATCATATACAAAGAATTT